ATATAAAATTAGAACTTGCTGCGCCATTTGTACTAAAGAAATTCCACACTTAAAATCTACAGAATAATATAGTAAATCTACAGAATATGACAATCAGTTCCCAGATTTCACGATAGTGGATAGTGAAATGGTTTCATATACCGTCTGTAGAATAAATGATATAAAATTAGTATTCACTGCGCCATTTGTACTAAAAAAGTTCCATTAGGTTCCACACTTAAAATAGTAAATAAACGAAAAATAGTAAATATACAGAACGGGACAACAAGTTCTTAGATTTCATGATAGTGGATATTTGTTCTAAAGAAGTTCCATTAGGTTCTTCACTTATTACTTATTGTTTAACCATAAGATATTGCTTGATCTGGTATTCTTCAGACGATATCTGTTTTATTTTTATACTACAATGATATATGTAGCACAACATAATTCAATAAGCCTTTAATTTCATTATTCCACTGACTTTTTATAGTAAGATTTCATCTATGTAGATTAGGTTTATAGGTTCGCTTAGATTGTACAGTTTGAATGTCTAGTAGAACATTTTGGAAGTTAATCACTAACGTGGTAAGATGGCTTCAGGCGTCTGACAGATATATGTAGTAATATAAAGGAGCAAAGTATTAATGATATGAAATATTTTTTAATTGACGATCTTGCAAAAGCAAATAAATTTAATAATTAAAATAATATATATCTATAATATATAGTATAATTGAAGTAATATCATTATCATAAGTTTAACAAGTGAGATGGTAGGGTACTTTTACTGTGTACTTTTTTCATAATAAATGAATTGCAGTTTTGGAACTGAAGGTGAATATATCATAAAAACAGTTAAATTGCTTTAAAACATATTTAAAATGTATACAAATTGTTATTATAAAAATAAAAAAATTAGTTGCAATAATATTTTATAAATATTTTATTATTCCCCTTAATTTGCTACGCCTATAATCCAAAATCAAGGCAGATCTTTTTCTTTTTTTTTTTGTTTGTGCTATAACTGCCTAAAAGCGTCGTCAAGCACTTAAAAGTAGGCCGTTATGGGTACGGTTTTTTCTGGTAAATCCATATAAAGAATAGTAATAATATAACCATATAACAGAAAATCAAAAAACAAGCTTTGCTGATGAGCCCACGTATGCAGATATCAAGTGACATGACTGACTGACTTTCTTTTTCATTTATTTTGTATATAAAATAAATATTTTTTTTATACCATATATAAATTTTTTTTTTGCCATTTTGTTGACAATAAAATCAGCTTAGCTAAGCCACGTTGTAGGCTCAAATACAATTCAATTGTCAATTGTCTTCAGCACAATTTTAAAGCCATTTTCAATTTCAGTTACCGAAGAAAGCTGCAATTGTGATTTGACAATCAACTTAAGATATTGCCTTGTTCATGTGAGTTGGTCCCATATTCATATTCAGATGCTGCGATGCTTTTACGTATTGAAGTATTTGCAATTCAATCTCTTATGCTACTTTAGTAAAAAAAAAAAATATGCTTTTATAAAAATCAAAAAACAATGAATAAAAAAATGAATAATAAAAAAAAAAATTGAATTATGCCGCAAAACAAGACGATAGCGAATTTTTTTTTATTTTTTGCAGTGTATTGACTTTCCTTTATTTTCATTCGAGTTGTTTCGAAAAGCGTCAGCTTCTTCGACTACTGTTTCGATCATTTGTTGTTGTGCATAATTGTTTCATGTCGTTGATTATCTATGCCTATTTATGGTTGTGATCAAGTATTACCACACTTTCGCTTATTTGCTTGAATATTTGTCACAATTATCTATAAGATATTATAGGTGGTGAAAATCATTACTCCATTAAACACCCACTTACTTTTCTTAAACTTTGCTCAAGTAGTTTAATTGTGTTGTATAATAGTGAATGTACGGTGTACTATATTTCATTGAATGCTTTCGAATAAAAAATTTCTTTTAAATCACCATTTAAATCTAAAACCAATTATTTTGCAAAGTAATAAAATTAACACTCTTAAAACAATAAAATTTATTTTGATTATATACAATGAAAATAAGTATAATTAAGAGTTGTAAACATTTAACTTACATATGTACTTCTGTCACCTATATCTTTCAGTGGAGCATAGGCCTCGACATATTTACAATATCATTAAATTTTGAAATCATCTTCATCTGAAATTGAAAAATATTTGGTTTTAATTACTTTACTTTTAAAAGTAACAGGGTCTACATATATCTTTTTTATATCTTTTATCTTTTTTATTTTTAATACTCTGGAATATACAAGCTCTATCTAGTTCAAGACATTTGGGATTGTGACACTACAATATAGGGCTTTCTTCTAATCAGCTTTACATTTCCTAACAGAGATATTCCGTTAGATCATTTTAGTTTAGATATATTATTATATAGAATTATATGCAATAAAATAACATTCTGTACATTATCTGGAACCTTTAAAATTATTGAGAATTATAAATCTGACTTCAATATATTAACATGTGTTTCTATCTCCATTAATCAAGGTTTTTAATTATTATGCTTCAATCCGTTTTTTGTTGATAGTTTAAAATATTTATGATTTAGTCTGTATTGTAAATGTTGTGACAAGAATTTGCTTTATTTGAACATTATAATTTATATTAAAATACACAGTTGTGAACAATGAAACAACATTCTATATATAGTCTCAAACTTTTAAAATTAATGAGAATTATAAACTTACTTAAATATATGTATTTTTTCTGTATTCACCATCTTCATTAGTTCCTATAGATCTTGATTAGCACTATTTTATTTTAAATTCCACAATACGACTTTTTATTGATTAGTTCAAAATATTAAGATCTTTCTGTTTTAGTCTTCATTGATAGTTTAAAATATTAAAAACTTTATGATTAAGTCTCCATTGAAAGTGTTGCAACAAGAATTTGCTTTATTTAACCATTTTATTTTATATTAACATACACAATTCTGAACAATGAAATAACATTCTATATATTTTTGCAAACCTTTAAAATTAATGAGAATTATAAATTTGATTTTAATATATTAATATGTGTTTTCATCTCTAGCAATCAAGGTTTTTAAATATTATGCTTCAGTCCGTTGGTCTTATGTTATTAGCTATAATATTATTAAAGTATGTGTCTTCCCAATTCTATTATTCAATTCTCTTCAAATAATTAAACCATACTATACTTAGCCTTGAAAATTTTTTTTCCAAAATATTAGAATTCAATTTCTATGCAGGGGCTGTAAAAAGCTCCTAAACAGAATTCTTACTGAAATTTCTATTCTACAGAATTTTCTACAGAAATATAGAAAAAGAATAAAAAAATTTTAATAAAAAAAACGTGATTTACAATAAAACAAAAGGAAATAAATTAAATTAAAAAAAAACAATTATTACTAATGGAATTACAAGTCAGTTTATGGAAAAATGTCTGATACCATAATATTAAGAACCAACTCTTTAATTATATGTATTATCTATATCTTTTACAAAATTGCTATTATATGGCCAGCTATATTAAAGTATTTGCTTCTGATATCTGATTTGCGAGACACTTTAAATTATAACAACCTAAAGTTGCGAATAATTCAAGTTCCGAGGCAACAAAAAAAAAAAAAATAAATTTGCAAAAAGCTCAACTATGTTCACGGCTTATCTTAAATACTTTTGTGATTTTAATCAATTAATTTGCAGAAAAAATTTAAAAATAAATTAAAACATATCAAAAAAAAAGTTAAAATATACGTTAAAATATTTTTTATTTGCGAATGTCAGCACATGTCGTCGGTAAAAAAAACGTGCCTTGCATGTAAAATGAAGCCAAAATTTTCGTCTTCATTTGAATTCCATTAAACCCGGGCGAAAAAAAAAATCGCGCGGTACGTGCAAAGTAACACAGTATATGTAAAAATTGCAATTAAAATAAAGGTTTTAATTTATTTTCAACAGAAAAAGTAAATATATTATATAAACAATTAAAAAGTTTGACATGTATTAGGT